GGGGGGGGGGTTGAGGGGGGATTCTAGTAGGAATTGATACCATACTTTTATATTGTGAAATGTACTTTTGTAAAGGAAGTTAATGGTACTGGGTCACAAGTGATTGCTTGAAAATACTTTATACTCAGCACAAAATGATCAGATTTATAACTTAAGAGTGAATTGATTTGAAACCAGTTTAGAATCAGCCAGTTTTTATTAGCTACTGCATTTTAGTGTGCTTTTGTTTAATGATGCATTTGAATTCTAATTTTTGCCTTAAAAGTCCATCAAATGGCACCATGAAGTTTTAAATAGTATAACTTTAAGAAAAACCAAAGGAGAACAATTATTATTTGATTGCATATTTTCAGGGGTAGATAAGTAGGTAAATTTATGATCAAAATTTTAAATAAGGCTCTTTTATGGCTGATTGAGTGATTAAGTCAGTTTATCCCTTGGCATGTCTACTTTATTTAAAAAAACTAGTAGAAGTGGTGTCTATGTATTACTGGAAATCCCCACACTGTTCAAATGTATTTTTAAATGTTGACAACATTTGTGTTATTTCCTACATGTATGACAATAAGATACAAAAAAGCAAGCTTTATTTTTCTTGCAAATTACCTGCAATTGTTTTATATATATAATTTAATTACAGGTGTTGCCATATTGTACACTGTTTTCTATCTTCAACATGAATGTACTCCTACACTGTCCTCTGGTTGGCTTTCAATATTTAAAAAGTGGGCAGGTAAAATACCACCTGTTGCTTACTGAGTGTTTTAATAATTGATAAGATACAGACACAGACACAGACACAGAAGCAATACTTTTGTTTTGTTCTTAAAAGACAGAAAAATTGCATAAACAAGGATTCCCTTTATTTTATATTTACAAGGTTAATGCAAGATGCACTTTGAATGAAACACTGATGGTTAATTTATGCATGTTTGGTGGCTTTAATGAACATCTGATAAAAGATGAGAACATATTTTGGAATTTGTGAAAAATATTATTAGATGTTGCAGGAAATTTTGAAGAGATATAAAATTCAGGGGCAGGATATTCAAGCATTAGACAAAAAACTAATCTTGAATACAGGTAATACAGGCAGATTTCCCTATTTTCTTTTCCTCCCAGGGGTCATTGTTAAGAAACAATTTGGTTTAGCTTTTTATTAGCATTTTACTCAAATATCATTTTTGTCTTGGTTTGATTTTCATCCACAGGAACAATGTATCAATTAATATTATAGTAAGAATGGTAAAAATTACTCTGTGTACTTGGTTTTATTTCTTCTCATTTGAAATAAACATGGAAGGCAGCAGTTGGCCATTCTAGAAAAGAAGAAAACAAAACACAATAATAATAAATAATAAAAACAATCATGAAAATAAAAAATTAAAAACTGTTTATAGTTTCTAAATATTAATGTTAATACATTTATTGGACCCTTAATGACATTCAATAATTTACTTGGCATGGAGGAGTTTGTATTGAACATGAGCTTAATTTGACTGGAAAATACCAGAGGATGAATAAAATATCACCTCGCTTAAGTAACAACTGTATTTGTGTTTGTATACACCAAGAGACAGTGTGTACAAATGTCAGTTATCATCCACATAAACTAGATGACCGCTATATCTGTTGTTAAGCAGCTGCTGGACATTACAGAAAGCAAGCACGGTCAACAGTTGAAGTGGCCAGTTTTGTTTGCCACTCTCTTTAAAGTTGTAATAAATTCAGATGTGTCAATATTTAAAGAGTTTAATTTATTTGCATGTTCTATAAAACAGTGATTTGGTCATCTCTTTCTTTGTTTAACACTCCAGTGAAACACCTTGTGATGGAGGTATTATTTGGCTGTTATTGAATAAAATTGTGTCATAATGATAGGGGATGCTTATGAATGAGATTAGGGCTTTCATTAATTTATGGAGTTGCAGAGCTAATGGATGATTTGAACTTTATGTGTATCATTGGTCTTGAACAGGTGAAATATATCTTTTACATATACAGGGTGCTTTGGGAAATTAAATAGCTTAAAGATTCACTTTTTTCTTTTTTTTTTTTTTTTGTTTAGAACTCAGCTGCAAGTGTGCAAAATAAAACAAATGTTTAATGACATTTTTTTTTTTGCTTATTTATTTTCAGAAAATTTATAACATTATGGGTGTTTGTACAATGTTAATCTTCACTGGTAGCAAAGTGTTAAAGACAACTGATTCTACTGACTTTCTCACTCAACACAAATCAAATAACAAAAGTGAATGGTTATAGATAATGTCAAAATATATTACTGAATTTGAATATATTTATATATGAAGGAAAAATACACGGGCGGATTCAGAGATATTTTCTGACAGTCTTCCAAATTACCTTTTTTGATCCAGTCTTCATTTTTGACTGTCTTCCGACAGAAAAAATTATATACCTGTCAATGTAAACTTGAAAATCTGACCGTCTTCCTGAAGACCGCCCCTGAAATAGGTATGCTAACACAAGTTTAAGAGCCAAAGTATTCTATTTTGAATGATTTGCTAATGACTTAGATTGTATGACTGCACTCCCACTTTTTTCATATCTCTGTAACCAAATTTTGAAGGGGAGTTTTCCCTTTCCCCCAAATCCACCCCCTCCCCCCTCCCAGATATCATGGAGAAACTCCATCCAAGTCAGTTAGATTGTGTTAAGGTTACCATGTGGTTCTGGATAATTTCTATGATTATAACTTGTCGACTAAGAATAGAGATGTCTTTGAGATTTTAATGTCCATTTTAACATTGAAATAAATGATCTTTGTTGAGCAGTTTGCACCACTTGTTAAAGGTCAATATTTTATGAATCTTGGTTGATTAGTAGGTAAATGCTTGATACCTACCTTGTAAATTGCTTTCATAATTCTTGTCGCAGAAAGTTAATTCTTGGTCAGTGAAGCTGCAGTTGGGGAGACAAGGTTTGGATCTGTGTGAAACGCTGTCACATAAAGGGAGCAAAAAAAAAAAAGAGAGAGAGAGAGAGAGAGAGAATGAAGCAAATTGTCAAAGAAATGTAAAATAAAAAGCAGAATCTGTACATATATGGTTTAGATGTAAACTTTTGTAAAATGGCAAGTTAGTGCAAAACAAGCAGTCATGTTTTGGAAGGAAGATGTAATGATTGTTCATGAAGTTGGCTACTGTAAACATTGCAATTTTTAATGTTTAATGGAATGTGACAATTTATGTTAAATGGGCCAGTGGGAATGACACTCTTTTTTAATTTCTAAATGTCTGTATATTTGCCAGGTTCTCTGTCCACTTGCGTTGGGACATTGCCACTGGCCAGAAAAGTTCATTTAAAGAAAATTTTACTGGAAGTTTGACTGAAGTGAAAATTTCAAAGCAAAAGTTCTTGTTTCAGTTGATTTATATTTTATTTTCTTTGAAAAGAAGCATATCTTGTAGTCAATAACTGCTGTTGGTCACAGGTAAATTAAGCATACCGGTAGTTATTGAATGCCCCATTCAGTTTCCAAGTGGTCAAAAACACAGTAACCATTAATATTTCCTGCTTACTAATGGTGAGCAGACACAATTCCCTTGTGAATGGCCCACCCCTATCACTATCTTTTCTAGATTCTGAATTATGGCTGTTATGCAATTTTGAATTTCCTGGCCAGAAAAGTGTGACATTCCCCTCTGGCTTAATTCTCCTGGTCACTAGCACAGCTCAGCCAGGTAGTAAATAGACAGGTGAGTAACTGACCACTTGACCGGCAATTAGATAGGTCATCAGTAGCCAAATGGCAGCCATTTATGTTCTAACAAGGTCTCTGTCTGCTTCGGTCTGATGACCAAAGGTCCTTAATGTCCAGTTACATCTTGATAACTGTCCCCAAACATTGTGGTCAGTTGAAAAATGACCACAGCACCTTTGCATGGTCACTTGATGGATGTGAGTGTCTAAAATTGTGTGAAATGGGTTCTGATGTATACAGAGATAGCCTTTGTGCATGGGCCGTTACATGCTGGACATGTTGCTGATCTTTTCGAGATTATCGCTTGTACATGATCAGTTCCTCCTAGTAGACAAGGATAAATAAAGTAAAGTGGTACAGTGGAGACAAGGGTCTGTGCATGCATCATTGTGCCTGTTCAGGACCAATTCACACAAAATTCAGCTTCAGATCGTTCCATTCTGGTTTTGGATTGGTCTTTATTGTTACCAGCAGGCATGGATGGTGGCATTGCATTAATCTCTCCTGGGCCCATTGTTTGCAGTTAATGTTGAGGATAGACACTAGTTACCAGCAGTTAGAGTTGATTGCCTGACCTTGCTTTGAACTCTGTGTGATGGTTTACAGTCAACATCCTCTAAGAGGTGTGAATGCCTCAGGCCGGGTCTGACTTGGTACCTTGTGTGAACGTGCCAACTGAGTCGCCAAAGAGTCCTCCGTTTGTTGTGTATCTGCGTGTGTATGGGAGTAATTTTTGTGTTTGTCCCATGTAGTTCCCACTCCAGGTATAGATCAGAGATGACACTAACTGCAGTGGAAACCTGTGTTGTTTTGTAGCAGAGGATGTACACGCATTTTTGGGTTCTCATGGTTGATTGAGAAGATATCTGAAAAGTTTGAGTCATGTGTGTGTGTGTGGGGGGGGGGGGGATGGGCGTTGGAAGAGAAGAAAGGAAGAAGAGGGATACAAGTCTGCTGCTGTGCATAGCACAACATGTACATGATGAATAGGCAAATTTGACTCTCTAGGATGTTTGAACAGAGTGAGGAGATAGATGGAGAGATAGATGTAGCCCTATTGTTACATAGCAGATGTATAGCATGTCAGACTGCCCTGGATGATTGAGCAAAATTAATATACTGTACATAGAGACCTTGAATCAAAGGGAGAGAGGGGGGGTTGGGTAAAAATAGGTAACCTGCCTGGGTGACATGTAGAAGATATGCAGATATACTTGGCTGTTCTGGGTGCTTGGGGAGACATAAGTAGGGGAAGATAGATATTGGACGTAACCTGTTTGGTATGATATGCAGGAGATACCAAGACATAACATGTTGTCTTGGTTGATTAAGCAGATACAAAAGTGAAGGGGAAGGATTTAGGAGGCTGACAACATGAAAATGGTTTATTTTATGCATTGGCTAGATGCACGGACAGTGCATAGAGAGAAATTAGTAAGATCACCCCAGGGGGTCGCCTGGAGAGGAGGGGGGGGGGGGCAGAGACCATATCAGTAACAGTACGGACATCCTGGTACCTTATGGCCATAACTGAATATTTCCTCAAAATAAAAATGATAGCTTCATACATACGCCTTGAGATGTACCATGAATCAGCACATTTCAGAATACCTTTGTTTCCTTCAGATAAATGGTTTAAACAGACAGCATTTACTAGTAGTTTCTAGAAATTTCATCTATTATTGATGTTCACTGTATGACATCTAATATTACCCCATAGAAGTTTTAATGACTGTGGGTAACTTGTACTTTAAAAGTCGAGTCTTTACCCTCATCCCCATGAATGCCGCTCTGGCTCACCATAATGTCTGAAAAGTAGTATGAAGCTCTATTGATGAGCATTTTGAAACATTTCCATATCTATGAGTTCTTTAAATATATATAACTGATCCCCTACTTGAAAGCTAAACATTAATTATACCCCCAGAATTTCTCTGTAAACATGCACAACATGCTTATGAATGGGGATGATGTTCAAGAAAATCATTACTCATCTGGAATGACTAGTTATAAAAGTTGTCATGCTTTTAGCCCAACTCTTGGCTCTGATGGCTATGTTATAGGGGTGACTGCATGGCTGGATAGTCTTACCCCCCCTCCCCCCCCCCCCCACCACTGCTCTTTGTTATGGCCTCATTTGTGCAGGTGTTTGTAAAAAAAAAAACTTTCATTTTATTTTGTGTTTTTTAAAAAGTATGTGGTATTAGCATCTTACTTTACTTCAGGTGAATTCCAGGTGAAAAAAGGAATAAAAGAACATTTTTAGTTTTTTTCCCTTGTTTATCCTTATTAATTATGATGGTGGCCTGTTCATTACTAATACACATGTTTATGGATTTTTTTTTTTTTTTTTTTTTTTTTTGATGTTACAGTACTGGTACAGGTTGGCAACTTTTTTAAACAATATTTTTTCCCTTTCATTTCTTCAAAGTACCATTCCCCCTTTTCTGTGGGAAAACCCAAAGCCATTTGGTCAATTTGCTAAAATGTTACTACTCCCAATTGACTTCACAAAGGAGCTAACAACAGAGGACAATTGTTCAAATAGGAAAATGATAATGTTCAGTCCAACAAAGGCGATGAGAACAATGTGGACTATGGGTGAGTCTGACTGAAGACCTTAAAGTGAAAACATGAAAACCATCACATCATATTAGAGAAATGAAGTCACAATTTCCCTGAGACACTTTGACGATAGAGTCCTGTGCACTTTGTAAGAACTTGCCTCTTTTTTATTCTTCCTTTGAGTCGGCATGGCCCTGGCTTCCACCAAACATGAAACAAGTCGTCATGTGTCGAGAGGATGTAAAAGCTGAGAGATAACCAAGATAAATGGGCCAAACATGTGATTAGCTTAACAAACATCAATGGGACCAGGACAGGGATATTACATAAAACTACAAGCAGCCATTTCCACTTTACAAGTGGAGAAGAGCTGCTGTATACATAAAGGTTACTCCTTTGATGTTTTATTAAGTAGTCGAATACCTGGCTGGATTTGTTTGTTGTTGCTGTCATTTTAGAGGTCGTCCAGCTATTAGTGCTAATGACATACTTTGGGGGATTGCCACCAGAGGACAGGGCTGTAGCACGCCTGTGCTGGGCTCCCTGCTAGCATTTAGAGTAATGGTGAGGTTTTGACTGAAGTGAAAGTTACCAGTGTGTAGAATCGAACATTTTTTTTTACATTATTTACCTGTGAAATAGATTGTAAAATGTTTTTTTGGGGGCCATGCATCTAATCTTAAATTGTGTCTGTTGTACATGCATTGTCATCCAGAAGAGTTTGAATTTCTTTCAAATCGAGCTGATTTAATTCACTGTGACAAGAGTTAATCTTGGCTGTGAAGTTGTTGGTAAAAAATAATCTATGGATGCAAATTTTCCTAGCATTGTTAATACTTTCCTTAAAATCTAGACTGCATCTTACAACTTTTGTACATTTTAAGGACTTAGTCAACTAATTTTGATTTAGGTGGCTGAAATGAAATTTTTCTCTGTATTTAAATATCTGAATGCATCAACTAATTCGAATTTTTTTATTCCTCTGTCTGCCATTCTGTCAGTCTATCTCTTTATCTGTCTATAACTAGGATAAAAAAATACCCTCCATAGCGGTTAATTAGTTTACTTACTACCTGAAACAAACTAACAACTTGATTGTGTGCTGATATTTGTATCAACAGATTTCTGCATCACTCAGACAATTACACTGTCTGTGTTTGTCTGTGAATACAATTAGCAAATTGATTTTGCTGATGTTGCACTTGTAGGCTTTTCATCTTCTGTGTTTGAAACCTAAGAAATTTAATCACGTAGAATGCTCTGAGACCCGATGTTATCTCTGTGTATGGACTTCATTTGCCAAGTATACAGAAAAATGTGGACATCATTGTATTCTTATACCGGCACAAACCACTGCAAATTAATAAAGAGTTTTCACTACATTTCAAATTAGCTTTAATTAATTTATTGGTGTATGAACATGTTAATCCGCTTCTCCCCACCTGGACATTTCCTTCATATTTAATCCCACAGACTGTGTAATTTTCAAATGTGACAAAATAACATAACTAAGTAGTATTCTATTAAAAATTTTGCATACTAACCATTTTCTACTCATTTCAGTTCCTTTCATAATAAAATGGAATCAACTAACCAAATGGTATTTCTATTTCAGGTCCTGGGGTTTCATACGGTGACAAGCTCATTGCTGCTGAAAACATGGAGACATACTATGTGATATGATATACTGCAATAATTTGATGTTTTGAGGTAATTCCAATACATAGTGATATATGGTACTCATACTTATGTAGTGAGTTATTGAAATGCTGTATACTTCCATACCTTCAGATAATCTAAGTATCCAGATTTATAACATTATCAGAATCAATATGTAGTAGGAGTAGTGTCTATAAACATTGCTTGTAATAATAATAATAAATAATTAAAATAATAATAATAATATATTTATGTATGTATATGTATATGTATATATATATATATATATATATATATCTGAACATTGCAATTTTCTGTATTAATAACTTGTTATTATCTTTGTCTCAAATTTTGAGATAATCCATGTATCTATATCTTGTGATCCATGTAATATAGAAGCTTATTGAAACTTGTATTATATATCTGTACCTGGTGATAACCTCACTATACATACTTCATAATAACATCTTTATATTCACACGTCATTGTAATTTCTGTCTCTACCAAGCAATGACAGCTATATCTGTGCCTTAAAATGATATCACTATATCCGTACTTTGTAATCAGATCCTTTTATCCATACTTCGTAATGATATCCCTATGTTCATACTGTGTAATGATATCCCTATATCTATACAATATGATGATATCCTGATATCCATACTTTTTAATGATATCTCTATATCCATTCTTTACTATGATACCCCTATATCCATCCTTTGTTAAGATATCCCAATATTCATATCTCATAATGATAATACCTATATCCATTCCTTGTGATGATATGCCTATATCCATACGTATTGAAGATATCCCTATATTCATACCTTATAATGCTATCCCTATATCCATAATTTGTAATGCCATCCCTATATCCATGGCCAGTGAAGATATTCATGCCATGTAAATACATTTGTACTTTATAATAATTTCTATTCCTGTGCTTTGATAATTTTGGCAAAAATCACTTTATCCATATCTAAGATAACCTCTATATCCATGCCTTCAGATATCCACATGCCCTTGCAGTCACAAAAGGTGGAGAACTGTGTTCATATCTCAAAAACAATTCTTTCTCCTTGGTTTTATGAAAATGTCATACCTTGAGATAATCTCTTAAACCATGCCTCAGAATAATGATTTTAATTTTTTATACCTTAAAATAATTTCTTTTCCCATACATCGGAGTAGTATATGTTTCCATATTTAACTCTATACCTTAGGATGTAGTACAGCAATCTGAATAATGTATATGCAGGATGCAGGTAAGTGTTAACCACTAATGCAAGTTGAACTTTGCAAGTGATTTTGTTGTTGTTTACTCGATTTTAAGTCAAAAGTTAGAATTAGTATTAAAATGGCAAATGCTTGTTTGCAAAGGGATTGCATGTTTTTATTTTGTAGTTTTCTTTTATAAAGTGTAGTTTCTTGTAAGGATACATTTGATGAATTGTTCAATGGTGGTATAAACATGTATTTTTACATTTTCATCGTTGTAGCCATTTTTGTTATTTAATGTTTATAATTTTAACTCTCAATTTTTACCATTAATATTTAGTCTCTAAAGACTCTGTATTGAGCTGTCATGTATTTCATCAAGTTCTTACCTTGTGTATTATTTTTTGTGACTGTAATATAACTTTTTATATCTTGGATAATGGATTTTAAATATTCACATGAAGTTGAACCTTTTTTATTTTTGTTGCGGAATTTATGTTATATGGCAGCATTAAGTGCTGAATGTTTTCAATTAGATGTTATCGTTGGTTGAATTGTTATTTTATAATAAATTAACATTTTAATTAATGAAATCAATATTTTGATAGAATTTGAAGTTTGTGTTTATGTACACGTATGTTACGGAGCGTTGACAGTAGTTAGGGCGCTGTATTGAATAGATAATATAGGAGACAGCACATGGGATTTTCGTTGTCAGAATTTTTCTGATTTCTTTCCTTATAGCTTGTGCCTATGTCCCAAAGACATTTTTTCAAATAATGGTGTAGTTTTGTTGCCTGTTATGTTAGAAGTTATGCAGAATGAATGTGCAAAGAATGCGGATGGCAGTTCTCTCGGCTAAACCCAATGAAAATAAAAGCCGCCTTAAGAATACAGTATAGGAATACTTGTTGAGTTGGTGCTTTCAAAGAGCTATGGGCAGCAAGTTACATGAATTGAACAAGAACTTGCGTGTATTGTTTTTTTTTTTTATCCTACACGCCATTAATTTAAAGCTACACATTTGAAGAGGAAAGTGATCGGGAAATGAAGTTTCAATTGTCATCACAGTATCTATAACGAAAATAAAAAAGTACATATAAAATGTAAGTAGCAAATAGTTTGATTCTCACCACAAAAATGTTTTTCTCAGTTTTGTAACAACAGTCGCGCTAGTCTGTTTGTTATACACAGGCCATCGTGTTTAGGTTTTTTTCTCCTCATCTTCAACTTTTTCAATTAAAGGCGGCAAGGTTAACCCCTTAAGAGTCTCCAATTTTCTCTCATTAACTTTACCCCTCCTCGTCATATTGAAGTTCTCCGTTCACAGTGTGTGGGGGGACCCGGGCTGGAAAGGTATTCAGACCCGCAGTCAATGCTAGCACAGGGGGATAGAATTACGTATTTGTATCTGGTTCTCGCGGCGTCACAGATACAAGAATCCACTTTGCCTGCACACTGACGGTGGGACTATATACTTAACACAAGTAACATAAAAGCTAATGTGTGTTCACAATGTCGTCGTCATTGTGTACTTTGATTAATTGGTACAGGGCAGATAAGATTCGGGGGTTATTTGGGCCCCAGATTGGTTTACCTATCTTTCTATGGTCCTTCTTTTATGAAGACCGGGGAATAAAAAAGTCCGTTCTTTATCTGTGTTTAAAACGACGGGTTGTGTTTCGCCTATATAGGTCCATTATGGGGTCTTGTATTACACTGATTTAACATTGTTGACATTGACTTTTTATAGCTGTTTTGAGATTTTTCTAATTTTTCTTCAAAGTCTGTCTTTCAAGGCTCAATGCGTCGATCGGGCTGGTAATTGTAAATCTTGGTCAAAATATAGACTGAATTTTCTACCCTGACATTTTTTGTGTCAGGATAATCGACTCATACTGGCTCGTAAATTCGTTTAAAGAATTGAACAGCAGTGTTTTTTCTGTATGTTATTTTGCGAATTATCTCAATTTTATTACCAAGCCTGATTTTACTGCCTTCTTAAATCAAGAATCTGACTCCTGTAGAGTTCTATAGAATAGGCCAATTTTTATGACTCTTTTTTTTTTTTTTTGTTATGTACTGCCTAGGCGTGTAAATAGTATTAACATGTCGTGGGTTTTTTCTTGTTACAAAATCACATCTTGATCGTCTTGTTACATGGAAAAATGTCTGAAACTGTCATTTAATTTGAGAAAAATATTTGCAACATTCACGTGTAACAACGTGACGTCACGCACAGATGCTACGTCATCTAGGTATGATGCTGACATTTACACTGGTACCGAGAGTTTGCTCGTGACGTAACTCACCCCCCCCCCCCCAATTATACCAGCGACCGGTTTCAGAAAATAACCTTAACCAGATTAGACTAAATTTTAAGACAAAAATTGTGTTTTACTGTAAACCATGCCACTTCACTTAAATGAAGCAAATATCAGTGATTTTTTTAAACCACGCCTTTCTTCGTATAAAACGAGCGCAATAACTTAATGGACTATAACTGATTTATCTAAGTCAAAATAAATGGACATTTTTGTCTAAAAATTTAGATTAATTTTCTAAGGCTTAAGACCCTTGAACAAAATGTTTGGCTTTAGTGGCTGAAAAGTCCCCACCATGGGGGATAATGTGCTGCCTCTGTTTTCTAACAATTTCTCTAATAAGACCTTCAATAAGGAAAAAAACGTAAAAGTGCCATAAAGTCATGGACCTAACATATTCGGTCATACCGATTCTCATTAAAGACTGAGGAAGCTGATATATAATGAACAAAAAGCAGAAGAAAACCTTCCATTCGCTCGGAAGTAGCCATTAGTGACGTCAGCACGATTAAAAAAGTTTAAAGATGCCTCTCCAGTGACAGACATCTTGAAAGAATATTAGTTAGAGTGATTTTTAGGACTGATTCAAACCTGGTACATAAAAGTACATGCGGGTTAAATTGTAAAATTGCTCCGTTTTTTATTATTTCAGAGCTTAGTACTCTTGAGGAATTAATTTGTACTTTAATACATGTCACTTTAGTCATGGGATTGTTCACGCCTCTATGTACAGTGATGAGAATTGTGAATTCATAATTGCAGACGCAGTTTATCAGTAGACCAGTTTGAAAATATCTCAAAATATCCACTTTCGTTGTCGAATGCTAAGCTTAGTTTCCAAACTCATGTCACATCATTTTATCAAAATAAAATAGATATATTTTTCAAAACAATTAAATGCATGTACGTAAACCTCCAAGTAAAGGCGGAGGTAGCCCTAAAACACTTACGGTATATTTCTGCATTCGAAACTGGATAAGTTGATACTAGCTGTAGGTTAATACTAGCAACTTTTCAAAAATCCACAAAGAACACATTACGTTTTTTTTCGCGCAAATTCTCGTATTTATCTTCCTGTACCTAACGCGAGAAGGACCGAGAACGGCGAAGGTTGACAAAATGACAAACTTGTTGCCTGTCCACCCTCTCACATCGCCTCTTTGAGATAAGCGATCAGGAGATCGTCTCTTGATAACAGAGGGCCAATGTGGGAAAGGTCGCGACATCGAGACCTTATCTTTATTAGTTTTATTACCTGACGATTGTTCTTGGGAACGATAAGCAAGATCGAGTGTCCCATCTTCTTATTATCGTACAAAAACACGCAGATGGCCTTTGAAGTTGGGACGCGTGGCCAGATTTTAAATCAATTAAAATGTTTAGATAGACCTGCGCTTGTTATTGTCTTTCTGTAAGCACTGTTGACATCTGAGATTGATTTAAAAGTGACATAATGTAAATAATAATGAAAATCCATGTGATGAATAATTTGCAACAGGGATTTTTAAACGTAATACTTTATTTAAAAACTCAATATTTTCGTTTTTGTTTAAGATAAAATGTAAATCTTTTTGGAGTGAAAAGTTTTTTTCAAACATAGTTGTCATTTTGTGCCTTACTTGTACGTTTATCAATAGCTACACTGTACATTTGTGGATCCTCGGGTTTTGCTCTCTCTCTCTCCCTCTCTCCCTCTTTGGGCGCTTGGTACTTGAAATCAATTCAAATGTTTTGAAGGTATATTATTACATATTCTAATCTTGCTTTTTAATATTGAGTAGAGCAGTTCAATCAATCTTCATTAAATATTCGAGCGGTCTTAAATTTGACGGTGATTTAAGAGTTCTAATAAAATATTTTCAAGTTCTCATTTGCAAAAGATGTTTCGTAAACCACTGTGTGAATCAATGTATATCTCTAACGTGCAGCGAGGGGTGGATGGCCTAATGATTGTATTGTCTAGAGGCACTGGTCACCCAACTGTGTAATTTATTTAATCATTGCTACCACTGATAAACAACAATCGCCGAGCGTCCTAGAAATAGCGCCAATTACATAAACAACTACAAAGGGAAGAATTTTTATTGCTTTTTTATTCGCCATTCACGTGTAGAAGATCCACCTTTTAATGATGTCATTTTCATTTCTAACGACACGGTATAAGAGAGAGATATTATGCTTGAAGTATGCAGTTGTTACAATGCACGCAAACTTGATTGGTTCGGCAATATTTCAAACTTCCTAACAGCCAATAAATACACTGCAGTATTTCGTATAGGGAGGGGGGTTGCAAATCAGCTCTTTTGTGAGATTGAATGTGTTCCCACTGCGTTAAAAGCTACCTGAAACCCAAATGACGATGGTCACCAAATATGACCACCATCTTTAGAGAAATTTGCAAATGGCGATATAGATCTATTGTGCCCCTTTACATCACAAGCTGTGTTTATTAGTTATTTTATTATTTGGAATATTCCCGATTTCATGTTATTGGCGTCGTTCATAATTCTTTATGTAACGTACATGTAATAAAAGAAATACAAATTATAATAGAAATACTTCGCTTATTTCATGTAGTTTTCAACTTCACTTGAATAAAATAGTATGCAGTGCAGCCCACTTACAACGACTGTTTAGTAAAACATCTGATCGTGCGAGTTTTTTTCCCTGCTTGTGGTTTATCTGTATCAACTGCTCGTGTGTTTTTGAATTGAACATCACCGGTTCTTATGCTGCACATTCAATATCCTCGTTATACATCAAACGCTTGAATAAATGTTCCCCTGTACACACACACTGACGATGTCTCTTTTAACCCATTGCTCTTTGTTACCTCTTTATTTCCGAATGTTATTTTTTAAAAACTTTTTAAGGCAAAAAGAAATTACTACAGTTTAGCCCGCATTAGTAGTAGAGACATGCATCTGTCGTTGAAATAAAATAAATATTACGATCTGGAGTCCTTGGTGATTTTTACTATAAATGTGGGTCTTTGGTTATTTTTTCCTGTGTGAATTCAAAATGCTGAAATCAGAATTTAAAGTTTGATGAACCAGGCACTAAGGAAAGATGGTTCTCTCCAAGTCTGGGGATGAGGGTTCGCTAGAATGTTTGATTTTTATTTAGACTCTGCAGTGATAAAGTCAATTAACCGCTCATAATCTGTAGAAGAGAGCAAGTTAGAATGTATAAGTTACTAAGACTCAGAGAAGAACCGATTGATATAAGTGAGATTCTCTGACCCTTTTTGTAGAAGAGGCCACGTTAAAACCACTGCTTTCCACAGGAGTCAAGCACGAGATCCACGTCGCCTTGCGTCCTCTGTCGCGTCTCTACGTGAGGTACTACTAGGATCTGATTAATTGCGGAACTAAGAGATATTGCCTGATATAAGGGTACAACTGTCTCGACTTAAAGTCGTCAGAGGCGTCTCCAAGAAGAACTTTCTCATCAGAGTGGTGCGGGCAGGCTTTGGTAAAAATTTAAAGTTGAAACGACCGTCGTGAATTAGGTTAGAACCTAGTAACGGTCTCCTGTGTTTTGTAAACGTGAAGGGTCACTTTAATGACGGCTGATGGTCAGACGATGTAACACACAGGTAATTTGATTTTCCTTTCTGCATCATGCTTCATTGTGAAAATGATGAAGCCTAATACTGCCCAATGTCTTTAATTTATTTTGATAAATAAATCTTTAAAGATACATTTGATTCCACACACTCTCCTAGCCTGTGTTTACTTGGGTCCTCCCCCCTCCCCCCTCCCCACCATAAGCTCAAAAATGGACCAATACTTATAAACGATAACATTTTCTGTCTATAATCTTATTCATATTGTCATTCAATAAATATACATATGAATCCTGAGCCCCTACCTGAATTCGTTTCACTTCACGGTTGCTCTTTGATCTCAATTTTATTCTCTTCTTCAAGACTTCAATATTTCAAATTGTGTAACCCTGGTGTGACTTATCAAACGACAGATAAAAATTAAATCAATGGCCATAGCAACTTGAGGTGTCTGAAATGCTTAATGGTAAGAAATAAATTTTCATTTTCACGTTTTTTTCACATGTTTTGTTCACGATCACCGATCATAAAATTTAGTCAAATTTTCCGTTTTTCCCTTTATTGCATATTTGTAAACCACTTCCTCCATTAACATGCTGTCACAAACTTCAAAATTTATTCTGTCCAATTATTTGTCCTTTTTGTGTGTTCAGTAATGACTGGATATACATATTTTCAAATTCATATTTCGACTTTTTTCTTCACTATCTCATCTCACCCCCTAAAAAAACCATAGGGTGCGGCCATACTTGTTTGCCTTTCTTCACTTCAACTTCATATATTGAAATATTGCTGAAACCGGATTTATAACTTCTTCTCTCTCTTTTGGCCCCCCTCCCCCACCCCCCAAAAGAAACGGTACTTTTTATCTTCAGTTCTTTTTGTTTCTAACACTTGCATTATATATTGCCTTCTCTAGTCTCACTTGTAATTTCCCTTCCTTACTCTAACCCCAAATATATTTCGTGTATTTTATCTTCATTTAATATCCCTGGATGCCCTCCTGTCTTTGAGATCACATTCATGTTGGGGTAATTAAAGAAATAACCATCTTATTAAAACTGAACACTAATCTATCATTAATCCGCTTGTTACGCGTGCTGAGAAAGGTGACAGTTCTAATAACTCGTAAACCTCTCTCTCCCGTCTCTCTTTGATCTTACCGCCACTACATGTCTTGCATGGAAATATCACATTTTAGAGCCCCGTAAATCAAAACGAAAATAGGTTATAAGAAGTTCAGAAATCATTTGAAATTATGATGGAGCGTGTAGGGACTGATATGCCCTATGTTTTTTTGCAAGTTAATAACGCGTACGTTTCAATCTAGATTAAATTAAAGAAGTCAGTATCCAAAGGGGAGATAGTATCTGATTTATTTCTTTGGAGCAGCTTAATATCTAGACCATTTCTTTTGAACTTTTTTCCAAAGGGTGCTAAGCGTGGATAATTGTTTTTCTTCCTTTGCCTTGAACTAGAAAGTGGAGGATATATGAAAATAAATTGCATTTAGCACCGGTTTCTTATTTGTAAACATTACTTACTGATAGAATTTTAAAATAAACGCAGAACCGCTCCTCGAGTTTAAAACAATGTGTAATAATAATGTGTAAACAAATAATAGATGAAAATAAAATAGGTAGATTAAAATTCATAGATTAATGGGTGAATTAATAAGTACTAAAAATTTAGGCGAAGAAAAATAGATATAAAGGGGAAACGACAACAGCAACATTTGTCTAAGATTGCAGAAGGCTTGCACCTCTCTTTCATGTGTAAACAGGAATCCAGGGCTGGTCACACAGGAGCACTTTAGCCCGAAAATTGGTCTTAACTTTTAAACCAAAGCGTGATCTACATCTGTTTTAAGAGGGTTGATTTTTTGTTGTTGTTGTTTTAGTGTGAAAGTGTAGACCAAATTCCAAGCTTAAATTTTGTTGTGAAAGAGCTTCGTATCTTTCTTCACATCCACTTCCAGGGAGTCAGTGGACCACCGGTTTGAGTGCAGCAGCTTTTTTCAAAACCACAATGAATTTATACGATGCGTTGTGTAGTAAACTAAGCGTGGAGTGCCGCTGTCGTTCCGGCTGGTTGGAACATGGCCCTCCCTCATAGACTCCCCTTCCATGCTCCACTCTGGTCTACCCTCAGCGAAAGGGACAACTCGTGCTATTTGTCTTGTCTATGTAATTCTTTGTTTACTCTCAATTACTATATTCTTCAAGGCACTCTACATGCCTTCCAAGGCATTGTATGTTCTCATACATTTACTTTTACTAGGAACTCAGAATATAAAACATGCCTTAAGTTTACCCAGCAGAAAAGTTTAAGTAGTTGCAGAAGTAAAATTATCAATTGAAGAAAAAGAGACCGACCAGACAGGTTTTCTTTGCTTTAAATGGCCTCGGCGTAGGAGGTGGTCTACGCGTGTTTTATTTACCTCTGGACATGTTTTTGATCTTTTTTTACAATTGCTGGCTATAAATCATTGCGACGTAGCGATACTATATGCACCATTGCTACGCGGCTTGCCAAAACACGATCTTAAAAAACACACACTGAGCATTTACCCAAGAAGCAGTGACTGAAACGCCGTTTCAGTTTTTATACATTTCTTCCTGGTTTTGAGTATACATGTATTATTATCACCCAAATCACCAAGTGGTGAAGAGGGGGGGGGGCATTAATTTCGTCTTTCGAGTTGTTTGCTTTAAATTCGAATAACCCAACAAGATGGCATTCAAAATTACTACGCGCTCCCCTCAGAAATTGAAAATTTCATAATTTTTTATGCTGTTATTTCTTTAAAGTTTAGGCATTGAAGTGATACATGAAGATATATAGACGTAGTGATACTTTAACAAAGGGCATCTTGCGAAAGGGGGGGGGGGTGATATTAAATTTTAAGTGGCATTCAGACCAGCAGTAACATTTCATTTGAACAGAACGATAGCATTCATTCATCAAATATTACTGATGGAAGTCTGAATCACTTTTCAAGCCAATCCCACTGGCGACTGGCGCAGGTAAAGTCCATTGATGGAATTCTCGAAGAGAGGCTTCATCTTCGTCACTCTGCAAGACCTCACTGTAGCTACCCTTGGATTGCGATTAGCGATCTACAAGTTGTTTCCCGGGCGTTTTGCCGCATAAATCGCTTGGTCACCTGGGAAAGCTTGTAAATTGGAGATGTTTCCATGGAAAATTATGTTAAATTTGCTCTCGCTACATTTTCCGTAGTGGTGGTCCGTTGTAAATCTTGCCCTTTCACCATCGGCCATTTGTACGGTTGTCTATGTCCATAAATTATATCGGGCCGCAGCGTATTTTTCATTGCTCATAGGCCCTGTGCTACATGTGAACGAGAGGAAAAATAAAACAAGTGCTCCCCTTTTTCAGCGTGCAATGTAGCTGCTTTGGCTCCAAAGAAATACGAGTTAATTATTTATGTCTCAAGTTCGATATCAACCGATTAAAGATAAATATTCATGCAAAGATTTGAGTGTTAATCCATATGCTATTTCACATGAATGAGTATCTGTCTTTTAATGGCATTACGTGAAAGAAAACACCACCCTTTGTATTGATTTACTATCTATCGTATAGTTCCGGTCCTCTCATTTAATCGTTTTAATGTTAACTAAAATTACAATATTGTAATGAACATGTGAAATACCACGAAAATGAAACAGATTGCAAAAATTTTTAATTAAAATTATTTTTTTCAAAATCGTACTGCTCTAGTACAAAGCAATATGCGAACGAAGTGCTATACATTATTTCTAATCGAAGTAAATGCAGTCTTAAAAAAAGGTCTTCTTTCATCCAAATGGCTTATCATAAAGTGATCTTAACAAAGAAGATCCTGATCTAATCCATTCCATCGCACAGAAGACATCTTAACACTATAAGGTAACACTACAGACCTAGATGTTACTATTACTGAATCAATTAGTAACAACAACGACACATTTAGATATTAAAATGATCGAGTTCTGCAATTTGAACCTGTGGCGTATTTTTTCGCGCACTTATTTACGTAACAACACCACGTTGAATTGTTAAAGCTCTCCTACTATTGCTCTGTAAGTGATTGCAGTATAATGCCACAGAAAAGTGACTCATTATTTTTCTCTTTTTTTGTCTTCGTCTCCTTAACAGTAAATCTGTCCGCACAAAGAAAGGAACCTTTGCACATGGCCGACGACGAAAGATTTATTAATTCATATTACTTTACAAGAGCGGGATGGATTTCTTTTTGTCAATTTATTTTCCCGTTTAAGGCGGCAGATTGAAACGCGCAAGTGAAAAGGGCACTGAAAGAAGTTAACTGTGTGACCATCCGTGTAGAAACATTGACATGACGTTCAACAGCCAATGCTTAATAACGTTACCATTTTGTAAATTGGGTGCCAGGCTCCCCACGTAGAAACCTGGGGAAGAAACAGCGTCTACTTTGACCTTGATGCTAGGGGCGGCATCACGAAATACTTTTTAGCCCGAAAATTAGTCAAAAAATTTTTAGACGAAAAATTGGTCCATTTTAGTTCAAGTTCAATTTATAGTATTGCACTCAAATAAAATGAGTATTAGCCTGATACATTAGCAATGTCATTCTCCTTATAAAGAGGGTCAACATTTTGCCTAATTAGACTCCTAGTGTTTTGTCTTGGTTCAAATGTGATCAAAATTTGCTCTTAAATATTAAGACCAATTTTTGGGCTGGAATTATTTTGTGAAACAGGACCCTCTTGCTTTCCCCAGGTCACATTCCGTCCCCTTTCACAGGACTCTTTTTTTTTTTCTACTCACCTTCGTGTTGCAGAGGAGGTTGACAGGAGGGGATCGATGAAAAATGGCGACACTAATATTGGGTTCTCAAGGCGAACAGGTCAGTTGTTTATCTTGTCTAAGATGACAGAGTCCATCCGAAACAAAGGGGGATTTGTGATTGGGGGTGGTTACTATCGTCTCCCCTACTGTCTACCCTGGGGCTTGCTCTAGACCTATTTTTTCAGCTCACTTTCCCCTGTTATGTCTGAGGTGTGCGTGTGTGTGTTTGTGTGTGTGTGTGTGTGTGTGTGCGTGTGTGTGTTTGTGTGTGTGTGTGTGTGTTTGTGTGTGTGTGTGTGTGTGTGTTTGTGTGTGTGTGTGTGTGTGTGTGTTTGTGTTACTACGGGACCCAAAAGCATATTTTTCAAATTGTGCTATGTTCGGCTTAACTTTTTTTTCAAAAGAATAGCACATATCAAGATAGGAAAGCGGCTGTTTACAGGGGCGTTGTGCATTGCAACCCCGAGAGAAGGCGGACTGCAGGTGACAGACAAGTGGGATTTTACTTCCCTTCCTTGTACACTTATTGCTACTTGCTGGTTGTCCAAGCATCCTTCCTTGTTTCCCAACGTCGCACATTACCCTGGCGACGAGCAGAGAGGTACAGAGAGAGAAAAAGAGTTTAATTTTCCTTCTTATTTATAATAATTTTCCTACTTCTTTGATGATAATGATATATGCACCCTTTTTTGTATGCGGAAAAATAGTCCATTTAATATGGGTATTAATTTTGTAATTGATTTGTAATAGTACCAAAAGCGTAGTTTAAACACCACCGTATGTCGGTTGATGCAATCTATGCATCTTGTTAATACGTAATGATATTTATTGAGTATTCGGAAACTGAAGCAGTTCCCCGGCGTCAAGTAAATAGTGCCAAAAACGTGAACAAGCCGCCGCTTCTTTCTAAAGAAATATCAATAAGAAATACTCGTTTACTTTATACCATTTTAATGACTTCACGTATGTAAATGATAATTGATTGTAATACTCGGGTTCTATTCATAAGTGGCATCAAACAATTTACAAATATAAGATTTAACAAAAGTTGATGATAATTATAATAATCATATATCTCGGTAAAAGTTCGTGATCGACACTAGTTATACGCAGAGAGCTTGTGCATTTACAAAGACATGTAATAATAACTATGTTTTATATCAATCATCGCCGAGCGTACCGCCATATCATATGTTTGCTGAGCACTTAATAAACGGTGATGATTTTAATATAGATATCCCATTAAAATGTTAAGCTTGTCATGTGAAAAAAATGACCCACAAACTAGAACCAGAACATTTCACTAAGCACTGAGTTGGTGAACAAATAATAATCAATGTAGAAAACTCGTGAACGCAGATTGCACACTTATCTGTACAAAGATAGCAAGAAATAAGGACATTTTTCACCAGCCCCTCCTGTCAGAAATAAGCAACATTTGTATAATAAATATACTAACAAAAATAAAAGGAAACTTGCGACTGGAAAAATACTAGATGTCAACTACGATCTAGCGATTTTTTTTTGCACAAATCGGTGTGATCCCAAACATGGTTTTCAGTTTTGTACGGCGGTCAATCTGAGACCACCTTTGCACAGTTAAAATACAGCGGGGGTATGTCATGAGCCAGAACGTAATAAAATTGAACAATGTTTTTCTTAAACTGCTATGCACATACTTTCTTTAGATAAAATTGCCAATTACTGCTATTATATACTACACTACTTCAACAAGTAGGCCTAGCTCTGTTGGGATGACCTGTCCCATCTTAAAAGATAACTGTAAAAACGAAAATAAATTTTCCAAACAGAACATTATGTCTTGAGAAATAAAGAGAATACAGGATATATAAAGCTGCAATTGTCAGGAAAATGCTGCTCCTCCAGTCATTAATAGTGTTACAAGCACTGTGTTTGAACTCAGTAACAACACAGCACAAAACAGTTCTATTTCTGATGCGCTGAAACGAAAAGCACGCGCGGTACTGAACTATTGCAAAATTAAACTTTTATCCATCGAATATTATCCTTATGAAGGCTAAAATGCCATTAGTAACTTTCATTTAACAGAAAAAAAATGAGAGAAAAAAAAACAGAATCATAACACTACGTTTGCTCTCCGCCGTCAGAAATTTTATACTTCTATATGTATATGATTATTTGTATATGTTATAGAGATGGCCCCTGCCACTCAAGGGCAGTACCTGAGATGGAGAAAAGTACGAACACACAATTTATCTAAAACTTCACAACCTTTCTCTAACAGTTCTACACAACGCTACGACTAATAGGTTTTCAAATTCTTTGTGCGAACGCGATAACTTTATAATAAATGCGTACCCAAGTTTCCATAGCGGAATATACTAATATATTATGCTGCAGACAATAATTATTGACAAGAGAATTTTCCTCGTGCGTTTTTACAATTAAAAGCCCACCATGTGAATGTCTTTGAGTTTTTTGTAAAGTAGTAAAAATAAATTTCACTTTTTTTTCACACAATTTGGCATTCTGGAGAAAGAAAATGTTATAAAGCAGAGCATACTGCTCTAGAACATGCAAACCTAAATGAATATTGTTTGCACGAAGACTTTCCGAGTAAGCGCAGGAGCGATCTCCCCCTGGTATACGCTTCGTCAGCCCGTAAACCCCTTTTGACAACCGGAATACCTTCCCCTTGGCCCACTTCAAGGTGGAAGTAGTAAAATAAATGCAGCTTTTCGATAAATAAAGTTTTGAAATAGGCTGCAAAAATGTATTGGCAATTATCCGACAACGAAATGCTGTGAAATCCAGCGCCTAGAACGGCCTGTGTTTGTAGTCTGGCAGTCCGGTTATATTCACAGAATGCTCCTTTTCCAGTTTATCCAATTCCTGGATCTCTTCCCTAGTATGAAGAGGGTGACCCCCTCATGTGATATGAATGCTGTCTTTGTGTCACAAGTGACCTCTTTCACTCTTTGGAAAACTGTCAATAAATGCCATCGCCATTTATTTTCCAGTGCACACGTCACAAATGTTTTTTTTTCTTTTTAAGTTTTTATTGTCTCCCAGGTGAAAGGAGTGGTCATACCCACGGTCCATGTCGGCGTCCTCTTCACGTTTTGTGTCTTGTTGTGCTTGTGTCGTCACAGATACCCCAACCCTCTTTGATGAGAGGACAAAACTCGTTTTTGCGCAGATTTCGTTGGCGAATATTTTGGCACCTCTCGGGTTAATTTTGATTTTACAACTACGACTCTGAAATATAAAATAATTGTTTATTACTGTTTATCCACATAAGATATAATTCAGTATCATTGTATAGTATGAAGTGCTTATTTGTTCTAAAGTATACGATATTACATAGACCTTTCAACATGAGATAACTCATGGTAAAATCTATTTGCATATTTTTTCAATACATCACAAATAATGGTACTCAGACATAATTACATAATTATGATACCTTGTAGCATCTTTACAGCGCCTATTGATCAGTTTATATAAATTAGGAACATGCATCTATTACTATGACGGAAATATATATTTCACATACAATAATAATGAGACGTGCCCAAAAGCGTTTTCAATATTTTTTTGGCTTTAAATCATCGACCTAACTGTTTTCCTTTTTCATGTATTCTTCCTGCTTGTGTTTAATACGTCGCCCGTATATATAATATGAATTTATGAAAAAAAATAAAATAAAAATAAAAAAACATTCCCTGTGCAAAACCATTGAGAATAAATAAAATACAGATCTGTTAAAAGTGACAAAGATCTAACTGTTACTGGTAACACCATAAAACGACCAGTGTTTAAGCTGGAGTATTTGAAAATTATAGACCTTTCAAAACTGACATAAATTTAACTTGTCACGGCTACCAACATGAACACGTCCCGTGCTCGCCGGATATGTAGACAAAGTTTCGACTTGTCGGTATGAAGTTTCACGGTACCCTTTAATTTTCTCTCTGACCCGCCCCGCCTTGTGTCACTCCCGACAACCTCTTACCTTCGCCAAACGATGTATTCCCGCTACGTCGCCATGGCAACGACAACGCTTCCCTGTCGTCTGCTTTGAGCTGTCGCCATGGTAACGCTGTTCGTCTGACCCTCGGCGCCAGTTTCCCATCAGCAGAGAGGGTTGGGGGTCAACTCGTATTAATCATAGTTAATAAGCTGTAATTTAGGATGGAAAAACGTGAGTGGGGTTAAAGAAGAGAACATGGAAGATAACACGAAAGGGCAAACCTTTGTCCCATTTAATAAATGACTGACACACGGAAAAGGAGGTTCGACCCGAAACAGTGAGCAAGCTTTACTGTTGAACTTTTAGAGTGAATTTTTTTCTTTTTTTTTTTTTCAAGTATCTATGTGTATGTTGCGCTTCAGTTAAAGATCTTGGGGTGGATAAATATTTCCCAATGAGCTTCTAAACCACAGACGTGCTTTTGGAATACGATTTCAAATTCAGAGATTAACTGCAAACAGATTAACAACAAACTTTATTCTATCTTATTATAAAGTTTCACATGGCATAAAAATATAATTATGAAATGACTTACTTTATAAACTCTAATACTGCATTGAATTCTCACAACCTCGGCGCTGACTCATGGGATGACTTAACAACTTCGCCTAAAATGAGAAATGGGCGACTTTCAATTTTTTTTAATTTTATGATTTAATCTGACTTCAACATTTTCTTCACTTTTGCTTCGTGGTTATTTCATTCATACAACCTTGGTCGGTTTTGCAGTTTTCCCATTCTCACGTCATTATTTTATTCAAATTTATTTTTTAAAATCCTCCCTTCAATTTAGTCGTGATTTCTGACCGCGAATAAGACAATAGCAAAACTGGACCATCAGTAAATTTTTCAGCTCTATTTTCAATCTTTTGAATTAGAGTCCTTAAGCATGCTAGTCTAATTAATGCGCATTAACCAGCAAGTTGAAAGTATAATTAAACACATTTCAATATATTATTCATGTACATTATTCTTTTTTCGTTACTGATTAATTTATCGCCAATATCATAGTGCCACATTATCTTTGTTACTTTTAATTCGATCATTTTACATCACCAGACATGGACTATCGACTGCATAGAAAATACTCTGCCTTGTTCTTAGTATGTACTATTATGATCAATCGATAAACCTTGTCCCAAAAGAATTTGTTTACGTAAGGCACCATGGCCCAGCGTCTGAGTGTTATAAGCAGATGAAGTCAGCATGTAAATGTGACGTCAGTGAGTGAAAGTCCATCATTCACGGACTGAAAATTGGCCATGAAAAAAGTGCCCCTGTAAGTCGTGATAGATGTTCATCCTACCTGATGAGAATCCATTTGTTAGTCTTGATTCATTTGCGCGTGGTGACGTGGATGGTGATCCTGGTCGCACACCACTTCCACCAGAACCACTCCCAGAATTCCCGCTTTTGAGCAAACCGGAGGTCGTTAAATTGAGCCCATCTTGTGGCTTCATTGCACCAGTGATCGTGTGAGAAGGAGGCGCCCCTGCCCCAGCTCCCCCTAGCTGCAGAGGTCCAATTCTCGGCCGAATTTGGCCGAACGGAGCTTGAATACTGCTTGCGGCGGTTACTATGGAATGTCCTGCGGCCAAATTCCGGGCCGGGTTCGTATTTGAATGCGTCATGCTTGCAATAGTCTGATGATATGGCGAGTACATGTAGGGGTAAGGAAACCCTGGGTATGCTAAGGTCGTCCCCCCAGCGGTATACGGTCCCACCCAGTGATTTTTGGTCACAGTGGGTACTGATAGACTTTGGCGCGGGGGCGGATTCGTCGGAGATATTTGTGGGTCTTTTCCTGAACTGCCACTACTTGGAGACGAACTCCTTGGTGGTTGCTTATTGTCCGTGTTTGACCCGCTAGTGATAGAGTCCGCTATGGACCAGATTTTCGGTTTACGTGGAGTGACCTGTGCTTCGGGGGTGACCCCACCGCTGCTCACCGCGCTAGAGGGCGAGCTGCACCCGTCACTGAGAGGGCTTTGTGCTGGCGATAGGTTTTCCCCATTTCTGATGCCAGGATCCGTGTTTTCTTTGTACTCGTTTGACTTGTTCCGTAAAACTGACGCTTGGTTGTCGCCGCAGCCGGGAGAGGGGGAGCCGACCCTCAGGGGTGGACTGCCGTCCCTAGCCGTGGAGTCCGTGTGGTCAGAGAGCATCTCTACGTCCACTTGGATATCATCGTCATCTGGAAATATTGGAATAGAAAAAAAGACTGATATGATTGACAGATGAATGAGTCAATGAATGACCGAATAAATAAAATAAATGAATAAATAAATTATATATACAATACAATAGACAAGCAATGAAAGAAAGAAAGCAAGAGATAACGAAAGAAAGAAAGAAAGAAAAAAGAAAGAAAGAAAGAGACCAACGAGTGAATAAATAAATTGATGCATGACCAAACAACAGAATTAAGAAAAAACAATGAATATGTGAAATGAATAAAAAAAAACTCCATCAGAACAAGAAGATTGAGCAAAAGTAGAATTATTTCAGTGTAAATTTCAAAACTTGCTACAATTTCAAGTTTCATTGACGAGGCACTGGTATATTAAAGCGCCCCCATAAATGATCAATTTCAGTGAAATGTACGTGAATCCCATTATCTTAAAACACTACACAACAACAAGTACAATTTCAGACATCATTATACTGGACATTTGTTAACATATAAATCTATCATTTTTAACATGATTCCTACATATACTAGATTTTATCTCCTTTAATGACAGTGTCTATGGATACAAAAACAGGTATCTTGGAATAGTAACATAAAAATATTCTACTTAATAATTCTATTTGACGAACGTATATTAAAATCTCAAAAATGTGCTCAAACATTTATGTTGATGTCCATGTGAAAGCGGAGGTGAAAGAAAGTTTATGAAAATGTCTCTAAACAAGACGGTAATATATTGTCCTGCAATTGCTTTGACATAAAAAGATTTAAAAATTGATTTTTGACCACTTTAATTTTTTTCTTTTATAAAATACAGATAATTAAAACTTGAAGCTTTTTATACATATATTTTAGGTTTACTCCTAGTTTTTATAAAGTTTATTTATTTACACATTTAATAATATCCCAAAAATATTCTGATGAAAGTTGATCTGTGTGATACAACCTGTTTTACATGTGGGACAGTGTTATAGTGAACGGTTCTCAGTAAACTGGTCACTATACACTGCCACGTAACTTCAGTGTGAGTGAAGAAGTCCCAAGTGTTGGAACGAAAGCTCTCAGGTACGCTCTTTTAGCTTATTGTGTAGAAATTGAACAGTTTTAAAGTTTATCATCATGAATCCCCAAAAAACATCTTACAAATGACTCATTTTCAGTACTGGCTTGGCTAGCATTTCATTTCATCAGTCTTTTCCCAACCGCCAAATATCGTTAGAAATAATGTCACCACATGACAAAATGTCATCGCTGGAATAATGTCGTCGTCGCGAGATGATGTGACACCAAGGCAGCGGTGTCACGCACTATGACAATGCTTGCGTCAAGCGGCCATGTCAACGTGTGACAGTGAAAAGCAGTAAAGCGTCCTGTATTGATATTAAGAGTTAATCGTGCTTCTAACACGACTCTTCCAGCCGCTTGCTATCACCATTTTCACCCCGCTTCGCTGCGCCGATATTCATAATATCACCTCTGTTAGCTGGGGTTATCGGATTTTTTCAGTCCGTATGAATCTCGCAATAGAGCGATAATCCATGGGGTTGCATAGTTCAATCAGGTCTCTTTTGTGGCAAAATCTTTTCTTTCATAACACGTCGGGTGTGAAATGGCAGAAAGTATAAAGAGATATGCAACCTATGGGTTTGGAACTTTGCATAAGAAAGAGCAGAAAGAAGTTGATATGCGTCTGATTAATTAGACTCGACTCCCAGTGAAAGAAAATCGTATTATTTTTTGCCTTCTATTTCTTTAGGGATATTCTTGAGGAGGAAAATCTAGATAAAACCTGACACAATGCATTGTTTGTGTATTCATTAGCAATTTTGTAACATTGTTAGCTGTTCGATATTCACTCTCAGAATATCTCTGTAATTTGGTTACTACTACTACAACAACAAATACTACTACTACGGCTACTAGAGCTGCTACTATTACTACTACTACTACTACTACTACTACTACTACAGCTATAGGACTCGTCTTAATCCACTACTCTCATAACTAGTTCTAACAAATAATAACACTACAGAAACACTATATTCTTTTGTTTAGGAATGAAAACTCTATAAAGGAAGGTGGGAGCTATGGAGGGGGGGGGGTATTCGTGTATCATGTTGACGCAGACTGTATTCAAGATTCGTAATAATTTCTATAGAGCTTGAAAGGGTGTTGCTAATGCTCATTTTTAAATTCTGTGCAAGCGATTGCATGAAAACTTAGCTTTTAAAAACTAGACTTAGAAGTAATTTTCTTTTAACCTAACTCTTGTTTTTATATTGTATCATATTAAAATATCGAAAACCACTAACGTGACCTTAAATCAGTGAATTGTTAATATTCATTTTTGTGTCTCCCTATTTTTGTCTTTTTACAGTCCGCATTAATTTATTATTTAAAAGCTCAGGAGCATGAGAAAATTACCCCGATGCTTTTAACACAGAGATAGCCATTAGCGGTATCGTTTACATAGGGCCCGCATCCAATGGCCCGTAGAATTTAATGTTGCCTCCACTGCCTACATTAATGTAGCATGATTTTAATGATTGAATTCTTCTCATCCTAGTAATGTCGTATTAGTTTTTATATTGATGTACTACTTTTTCTTGTACGTCACATCTCACATAAGAGGATCATTGTATGAAATATAATATTTTAGTTCTCTTTTTATGAAATATTTTGTTTGATGCTTTTCGTCTGGTAGAGCACTTTCAGTGTCCCTCAACACGTTGAATTTGATGCTTATAAAAGTTAAGTTGGTTTGACGTTTGACTTTAAAGAATTGATAGAAAGACCAAATACACGAGTAAATGTTAAACGACAACAGAAAACACTTTTTAAGACCTACAAAAGGTAAAGTTACGTAGAGGCCCCAAAATCACGGCCCTTAGCATGACCCCCAGTAAAGGATACAATAAGCCAAAAAACCAAAGTTTTTATGGACTGAAAATAACTTATGTCTGCGGCCTGCAAATGGTTAGCAAATTAAGTAAAATCGTGGGGTGAAAACAAAAAAAAAGTGTCATGTATTCAATGACGGCAGACATTCTCACATAGTTTAATAGGTTTACGTATTCCTTTCTTTTCCGTGGCCTGAGATGTTTTGACTTCAGCGACCGAGTTCAATTATTTTTTCTTTTTTTCTTCAAGCTTGAGTTCAAGGGGGCAGCGCACTACAAGAACCCTCGCACTCGAGAAATTCAGAATTGACAGGGAGATATCTGCTCTTTGTTTACTTTGGCCGCCAGCTCCCACCTTCATTATTATCCGTACACGATCAACGTGCGGTGAACGTGGAAAATAGCGAAAGCTGGAAATTAAAACTGTCTGAGAACCAAATAGCGCAGGCCCAAAGAAAGCTAAATAAATACTGAAGTCATGTTATCCGCAAAACCCATAAAGTTGAAAGTGACAGCTACAATTGTCTTTAAGAACACAAAATTTGAAACAAAAGCAGTCCACCGCCCATTGAGCCGAAAAAACAAGAGTTTACTATAAACTCCCTGAGGTGGGTTAAGCAGAAACACCAGCCGACTTTTTCATCTTTTTATACTGCTTCTCTTACATCATTCCTCAGTCGGTTAAAATCCCGCCTCGGAGCTCTTTTGGAGGGTACGTATATTTTTTGTGATTCCTTTATATTTCAGCATTTTTTGCAACCGTTGAAACAGTTCTCTTCCCTGACACCCACAGCACACTTAGTTTAATATCAATTTACTTATTTAAGCAACTTCCCTGGTAGCCCTTTTATCTTAAATGATCCAATATCTTAATTTAAGCACAAGGTATTGAGAACACTCAATGCTTTTCGACGTTTTTTACAGGGAAGATTTCGCGGTTGCAAACTTTGTCTTAAAACAACAAGCTGACAAGGATTTTTACAAGCCAGAGGTTGTTTTTTATCTCGCTTTTATTCTTAGAGTATCACCAACGGCTTGTGTGGGATTATGCGGCTGATTGTGTGACATTTGGCCGGCCGGAGTTGCGCTTTAAGTTGTCTTTTGTACCTATAATTGGATGATTATCTAGTAAAATATAAATCGAATGCTGTAGGGAAAATAGCTGTTGGGGTACTTTTTTTAGGAAATTTTCGGAATGAGGAATTTTCTTTTATTTCTATCGAATTTCCGTTAGGATAGGCAGCCATAAGAGGCGCGTTGAGGAGTAACGGTGTTTACATGCACCTCGAGTAATTTATGGCTAGAATGCGGAACGACAAATTTAGAAAAAAATAACGAAAATTCAAGAATCTGATTACGCTTTCATGGTCCAAGAAAGTGTGGCACAGAGAGAGACGCCTTTACACTTCTTCCACAAACTGGTAGTGATAGATTTCCCCCCTTATTATCTACCCACGCTTGCGCATAGTCTTAATTGATTGCACTTTTCTATACTTTCTCCAAAGACAACCGAAAAATATATCTCAAAATCATAATCGCCATTATCTACCAAGTCATAATGAGCTAAAACATGAATAAGAAGACCGTTTTTGAGTTTTCATTCTTCACTTAATTCTACTTTTCTCTATACCTTGAAATCGTTCCCCTACCAATATACCGCAATCGCTCCACGCTCCACTAGACCCCTATAAGTGCAACACTCGAAATCAGCCAGACAATATCATTAGCAGCTTTCCATATAATGTCGGCATAATTCAGGAAATTAAGAAATGAAGTTGGTAGAGAAGGGATGAGAGCTGTTCTGTCGCTTTCCGTTTCGCTTTGCACCATCAAAGAGCATTTACTTGACGTAAGCTAACACTCTGTGCTTTGGTAGACTTCGCAGCTAGTTAACAAAGTGCTAATGACGTAAATGGTGCAATTTTGCGACTTATTTTAAGTATGAGTTAAAACGAAAATGAAATGTACACAAAACTCTGTGTACCCCAGTTTGGGGTAACTGATGCCTGATTAAAAAAATCGATTTATAACAATCACCCTTTCAATAGTGCTGGTCTGCTGGTGCTTTTCTATTGTCTCCATAGCGTAACTGAAACAGTAAAAGCCCCCCCCCCCCTCCCCATCCATCATCATATGAACTGCAACGTGGCGGGAATCCTGCTAGTCACCCCCCCCCCTCTATCAGCTAAAGAAGGTCCTCTCAACTGATTTTTTAACGATACATTACGAGGTTAGTTTATCGTGCACTTTAACTACAAAACGAGGGATAAAAGCGAAGGCAAGTAGGACACCCACTTAACTGGAGACGTATCTCCAAAAATTGATTTAATAAGAGAAAGTCTTGAAGACGAGCTGTCAGTTTGGGCGGCATCATCCTCTCGGCCGAGTGTGAAACGAGATAATGGAGCAGGCCTGGTCTGGTTTACTTCGTCCGGGGTAGAGAGAAGGGTCGTGTGGCATTGGCTCAGTTTAGTGGAGGACCGTCCCTTGTCATTGTTGGGGGCCCACCGAAGACTTTAAGTTTTTTTCTGCCCAAAGCAGCATTTCTTTGTCTGCTTATAAATTCACAATGAGTTAAAGTCAAATTTGGCAACCGCTCCAGGGGTGGAAGCGATCATCCTAATACCACTTCAGTCGCCCTTTTTTACGGAGACTAATTTCACCCTTTTTTCTCTTCTTCCATCTCCTCAGTATTTGCTCCTTTTCCCTGCCTTTATTATTTCCATCACCATTTTCCCATTCTCATTTTCCGCTTGGACGCAATCCTTTCTTTAAAAAATCATCCGGCTCTCGAATAATTCCCTAGTTACTCCGACAACGTGTCCATACACACATTTATCGGACGTTTCGAGTCATCACAAACCAGTGCAAAAATGCCCCGTATCCCCATTGTGCCCAATTCAATTCTAGTTAATTTCATGCTAATCAACAACTTAAAACAAAGGGAAAAAATTGCCCTGGGAAAATCTAAATCGATGATAGGATCGTGCGAAGGAGTGACTAAGACGCAAAAGTTTGTTAGGATTGAGATTTTACTTTAGGGATTTCGATAAGAAAGAGATGGGTCGGGCAGATATGTGGATGACTACTACAAGTACGCAGCACTAAAAATAATGCTTGTGTACTAATACCATATAGAGTGGTTGGTGGTGTTATCTGGAATTTGTAAATGGAATTTAGATCACAAAAATTAATTGATTTCTTTCTTTCGTTTTTTATTGTCTTTTTTATTCTTTTGTTCTTATCTTTTTCTTTTTCGTTCACATTTTTAAACATCTTATTTACATCAATTTTATCTATCTTTTAAAAATGCCAATCATATCAAAATCAGATGATTCGAAGAAAGGTTATTTTTTCTTGTGTCTTTCACACAAATTCTGGCAATTTTTGTGATAATAATATCCTTTTTAATATCCTGCTCTTAGAGACAATATTTTCATGTCACAGAAATAATTTTATACTCCAACTTAAGCATATAAAGGGAGAATTATGTTGACTTGTTAATGTGTTTTCGCCCTTTCAAAGTAATCGTTATTTCTGTAATCCAAATTTCAAACATTTGTGGTGGGAAATTAACATTTTTTTCCTTTGTGAAAAAAGTTCCCACTCAACATTTATCTCAACGTGTACGTGGCACTGTTCAAATCTACTGTTGTCTTTAAACCCGTTTAAGCTACTATTATATTGAAAAGGTTTCCGTAAATTTCAGTAACGCTTCCCTCAATAATTCATTCTGAAATACTTAAAAGAATTTGTATTTTTATTACAACGGGAACGACAGTCTTCGAGAGTTAAGGAAAATATTGTTACGCACTAGCCACATTTATCTCCTTTGCTCGTGTGATCCCTTTCACATAGAAATAAGACGGCTTAAGAAAATAATAAATTTGATAATGGTTTAGAAAATAATAAATTTGATAATAGTTTACCTTCGTCGTCGCTCTTGTCAATCTCATGTTCGTTGGTACTGGACGTAGCTTGGTTTTCTCCGTCTTCTCGTCCGCCATTTTCAGCTCCGCTGTCGTCGTCCTCTCCGTTTCTATTTCTGGGCGACCACGTCATTTTATTTTCCTTTTTAAGCCGCCTCCGTGCGTTTGCAAACCACGTCGAAACCTGCGTGAGAGTCATTTTCGTTATGATTGCCAACATGATTTTCTCCCCCTTCGTAGGGTAGGGGTTCTTTCTATGTTCGTTCAGCCACGCTTTAAGTGTGCTTGTGGTTTCTCTGGTTGCGTTCTTTCTAGGCGCCCCGGCTGTCAGATCCATACCGTAGCTAGAATTAAGAAAAATAAATAATTTAGGGATCATAGTTTTAACAATTAACCAGTGCAGGTGGAATGAGTGATTATAATATAATCATTAAAATATTAAAAAAAGATATTTTATTTGATGAATTCAGTCGTTCCATTTTTATTATTGACATAAATAATATTACATAAGATGCTTCCCCATTGATGGTGGCATGCTAATCAATACATATTAATATCGTTTGGTCATTTCTGTGAATTGTTTCAATTATGGACTAAAATCAATATGACATTATGATACCGGCAAAAACAATATTTCAGAAATGCTATTCCAAACATTCCGTGCAGATTCAAAATCGTTTTTAACACTTTTTAAAACAATTAGCGGCTGCATATAACAATATGAAAATTGTTTTAAAAAGTGTTAAAAACGATTTTGAATATTGTTATATGCAGCCGCTGAGCGTGTCTTATGGCTACTCTAAACAGGGTTATTATTGTGAAAGAGACGAAATTAATTGGAAGATTTATTGGAAGATAATTTTCAAAATATTGTTACAATGCTATTTGACGCATATTCTGACGGTGAAGATCAAATGCACCGTAGAAGACACTTTTTATAGTTTTCGTCGATCCATTTCTCAAAATTTAATCAAATTAATTGTTGATACCATTATAAACTTATCTACTCTTTAACCATTAGATAATGAATCAAAACCATAAAATCATTATATTGTACTTCAGTAATTTATAGCAGTGATTTTTTTCATGCTTAGACAGAAATTATTCTTGTAATAAAGGCCGCACTCAGGTGGGGCATCCACCATTAAAAACCTACCGCTAGAGACGATCAACTTCCCCAAAGCTTTTACAGTAATGTATCTCATTTATCAGGCCACTACATTAGTAACGTAGTTAGAAAAGTAATCGCACACATTTCGTCTGATAGGAACAAACCCTTAGCTTGCGTGTCACGGCCTTCGGTACGCGATCTCAGTTTTATTAACACCTGTAGTTTTCGATTAAAAAACGGCTTAAGTACCGTTATGGATATGCGTCCACAAATCATTGCGTCCAGGTTATTAAGGGCCGCTTTCCCCGGTCGTCCCCAGGAGGCGATTTGTGTCAATCGCTACACAGCAAGTCATATATATCTGTCGACCAAAATTTCTCCATTCTTTTGATTATCTTTATGTTTCCACATAAAACACACGAAAAGAGGCAATTTTTGAAAACAACGTCTACTAGTTATTTTCATCATTATTTATAACCTGTTTTAATAATTACCGGAACAAAATTAGGCTGTTTTAGTTCATGGAAAAGAGAACGTAGCTGCAGAAAATATATGGAAACGGGATATGTCACCTGTGATTATAAAGAAACAATTGTAGTTATAACCCCTAACACGAGCACTTTAAAAAAATCGTGTTTGACGGGGTTCTACCTGCATTTAAAATGTTTTAGCAACACTAAAAGCTTTCTGCTCTGATCCGGGTAGTACTCTGTTAGTACCCGTAGTCATTAGTGTGGGTTTGCTTCCAAACATTACACTTTGTCATATGCTTTTTCTGAAAGTCGTTTCTTTTTTTGTCACTTTTACTTCATGTAGCAATTCAACACGACAACAATATCGTTATAATCTCATGTCTTATTTCTTAATTTTTTCTGGGTTGCATTTGTGAAACATTTAGTCATTTAAGAGCAATCAATGAGGCGATTTTAAGTTAGGATAAATGATGTATAACTTTCACAAATTGAATGTGAAATTTTGAAAAGATAATCATTCGATCTTTCGCAGCCGACACAGTACAAAAAAACTAGTTTCGTTCGATTATTTTTCCCATGGATTTCCGGGCTTTTGTTGATGCCAACTTTTGTCGTTGCGCGACTTAGCTCGCCTCCCGCTGTTTGGAACTTTTTATGGTAATTAATCTGCTCCATTATAGCTGTAAAGGCCGTCAGAACCATTGTGATAAACTTCCAAGTAATAGCTTGCTAATTTCGATGGAAATCAAACGAGAATAGAATTCTTCTGACATGTTTGCCCGCCTTAATTCATGCTCCAAGTTAAGTTCACAAAGTCGGGTGCTTAACGAAGAACGCATTTGTCGAAGGGTGAAGCTTTTGGCAGATGACTTAGGAAATGAAATAATTTTGCCCGCCCTCTATTCAACCCCGACAGCCAACTATTGCCTGTCTCAATCGTACAAACCATATCGACACAGGTGTTTGGATGTAATTAGTATCTAAATTCTTTCTTTCCGGAAATGAAGCAATTTTGCCCGCCCAAAATTCTCCTTAAGACATCTCCCCGTTCACAGGTGTCCATACTGAGTGGATCTCATTTCAACATTACATAGGAAATAAATAAAATTCCATTTGTCAGACCCAGTAAGTAATGTAAGTATTCTGATTACAAGAACAGTTCAGATAAGCCTGGAGTGTTATGGAAGATTCCCTCATGGTTCTAACAAAGGAGGGAGGAAATTGGTTAAGTCTTTCCAATGACCGCAAGCGTCTATGCTCGGCTGTGTACTTCCATAAGAGACTATTATTGCTGGCAGGCTTCGCTGCCAACGTCATGCTCTTCTTTGTGCCTCAACGGCACGCCGAGTTCAGCCATCTTGATTTTTTGTGCTTTCTTTGTTACTGTTATGAGTATCCAGTGATAGCCCGTAACTCCTACAATAATTTTCATAGACAAAAATGGAAGAAATCTTTATGCTTCTGTTTTCCTATATATCTATTCAATCTCCAGGAACAAAAGGACATCCAGAAAAGTTGTCAATTGACAAGCCATCTGGATTTGTTTTATTTTGCTGATTTGCCCATACGGGGTTTAAATCATACAAAAAGAAACACGACGAAATAGATGTCTACTTTATGATTTGAAATCGCCGATTTATTATTATAATTTTTTTGTAATCTTTTTTCATTGACTGTGGATATGAACTTGAAATCAATAACAACCGAGAATGATGAAAATTATATCTGTCTGAATTAGATTAACAGATATACCGTTGCCATTCTCAGTTGTAAATATGCCTTAGAATTGTTCTTTAAAATTTGCTGATTATTTGAAAATCTGACTATTATATGACATATTAAAAGACAACAGAATGTATGTTCACTTTCTTGGTTCTGAAAACAAAAGCACATACAGGACAGAAAAGTGCAGAAACTTAATATTGGCAGAATAAAAACCATCTGCCAAAGATTTCCCTGTCTCTTCAAGAAGAGCATAACTTAGGAATTAATTTAAAATATATATATATATTTAAAGCAACATAAAAAAATACTGTTTGTGGAAATTTTACCTATATAAACTTTATTAGTTAGCATACTAGCTGCTGGGAGTCTCTGCTGACCTAGATTCCATTGGCATTGGCTACCGGGCAAAGAACAACGTCAAGTGATAGGAAGGCACGCTACGTGCCAGGCAGCAGGAGGCTTCCCTAACGGGTACGACATAAAACTGTCACCATTTTCCAATCAAAATGCTCCTATGTGAACTTCACAACAGATGTGGGGTTACCAACCCAAGACAGCAGGCGACATCTACGTGACATATCTTGATCGTTTTTGGAAAACAGCCAATGGCCGTGTCAAAAAAAAAAAAAAAAAAAAAAAATGCAAAATGTGGCCAAATTAACAAGCATATTGATAGGTATGGCAATGGTTCTGGGTGGCAATGATGCGAAGGATACGTTATTAGTTGTAATAAGGATAGACCGTGAATTGTGCGTGACATTTTATTTGCCATCTTTAAACTACAAAATGATCAAAATTCAAAGCTTTGCACTGATCACAATGGACCAACCGAAATTATAAAATTTATATTGAAAACCCACTTGGATTGTCTTCAAAATTAATGGTAAATGAAATAAAACTGGATATTGAGCAGAAAGGGAAAAGTATAAAAAGCTTGATCCAAGTTTCTTTATATGGAACATTTCGAGGCAATATCTCACTTCCTCTGTCGCTTTTGCTGTAACAGTGAATGTACAATGGTAGTAAAGGAATCGAATGACAATGCCTCAAGGACAAAAATGCTACAGCGTGACTATTATAAATACACAAAAAAACTCAAGTAAGGACTTTTTCATTTGCACCAATATGTTAAAACGCACTTGGTATTTCCCCGTTCATAGTTCGATAAATATGGATGGCGAGTACTGAAATACTAAACTTCTAATGACCTACCTTACCATGTTGAAACATAAATAAGACGCAAATCTCAGTGAGGATTTAAAAGACAGAACCATGTATTAATGTGAGAGAGATAGACAAGCAGACAATTCCGGGTCATTAATTACCTATTTTGATCATAACAGACATTTGTAGGTGCTAATTGGCAGTCGAATGCGTGATAATTATCAGACATGGTGAGAAGGCTTGTCTCCTCTGAGAACTTCAGTCAAATCATTGGCCTACGGTCAAACCGTATTTCGAACACGTGAGAAAAAAAGGTATCTTCACAAAATAAAATGACATGTAACTCGCAGAAATGATCTCCTTTCGTCGAAGGTCGAGATTGACAGAAGACAGTTTTAATTTAATTTTGATGGCTGGGAAGTGACAATTTTTATTAAACTGAATTAAATTTTTCCCTGCCTAACTCTTTATTCAATTGTTTAAAAAAAATCAAATTTGAGGTTGTAAATTCTGCAAACAGTTTAAGTATTAAAAATGAACAACAAAGCGGTTAAGAGACAATGTTGACGTTTTCTCATTCATATTGTAAAAAAAATCAAATTCCATGAAATTCACGACTATGAAACTTTAAAAAAAATGTCATGAAAAAAAAATGGAAACTAGGCACCTCGAAAATTTGATAAATTCCTGCAGCCATCAAGATTATCGTTTGAAAAAAAAAAACAAGTAAAAGTTCAAAAATGTGGAAAACATATAATGGTAACGAAATACCATGAGAAGTTTGTAAATTTATGGTGCCTTAACGATCACCTAACTCTTTCTTTTTTAAGTCCTAGAGTTTGATGAAACACAAGGCAAATTAAAGTCAACA